TGTCAATACTTCCTACTGTTTAATTTTCATGGTTTCATTAGATTTCCGTAGGATGATTGTTCAAATTGGTAAACAAAACTATAGAAAAAGATGACAAAAAGGCTATAGAGGGGTTCTATTGGCGGAAGCGGGTGGTTGCGACTTGCGATGGACAAAGGAGGTATAGGTCCTAGACTAACTAACAGAAACCCGCGAGAAACCCTTCAGGTTTTATTTTTGTATTTTATTTTTTATTACTTTCTTTAAGAAATCAAGACTTAAATTCACCAATTCACCGATGACATATGAATTAGAAATTTATGTTTAATTATTTGATGAATCATAAGTTAATTTTTGTAGGTCACATCAGATAATGATTAACCGGGTTAAACAAGAAATGAAGCGAGCATAAGGATATCTTCCTCAAAATACCTGCATTCTGTCCGCATAAATCAATGGCACATATGTCGTTTCTGTAGAAAGCTCACACTGAAAAAAAATGGTATGCTAGATTAGCACCTATGATGTCAAAAATGTGTCTGGTGATCCTAAGATGCTTCCTTGATTGCCCACGGAGGTGCATTTGCGTTCACAGGTGTAAAGTTAACTGCGGGGGCAGTAAAGGCAGCATCTTGGGATCACCAGACACTTTTTTGACATCCTAGGTGCTAAAACAGCATATTATTTTTTTCAGTGCAGAGAGCTGGGTTAGTGTCGGCATACTGTTTGGAAATTCCATCAAACACACCAAAAAGAACCTCGTTTCCGACAAAACGTGGCAGCAGCATCTAATTCCTCGTCTGAATTCTCTTGTCCCGCGTCCCTTTGAAATAAAAGACGGGAAGATGCGCGCGATAATAATAGATGGGATCCGTCGGTATAAAATGATAGCACTATTAAAATTCATCTCGGAGCCCCCCTCGTCCCCCTACAACCCCCGCGTTTCTCTCGTGCTCGTGCAATGCGCAACGCCCATTGTATTGAATTACTCGCGATTGGAAAAATAATTGCGCCCCCACCCCCAACGAGGAGAACTTTGGCGAGAGGGGAAAGTTGTTGGAGTGGAACCTCGTCAGGTAAAATCAAATATCCGATACATGAGCGAATCAACTGAATTAATAAAGGCTCCATTAATTACGTGACGCAACGCGTGGGGACTGGGGTTGGGTAATGAAAGGGGTTATGAAGCGTGAAGCATAGCGCGGGGGTTCGGATTTCAAAAATCACCCTTTGACTAATTCCCGAGACTTACCGAACTTATACAGTGAGGTTTTTGCGCTGCGCTGAGTTGAGTGAACTAATTTCAGGCGGCATACCAGACCACGGTGTGGTATACAAGGTGTCTCATGTCCCAGGGGTAAAAGGACCAGCAGTTTGATCGACCTGATCATTAAAATTGTGTATTTGTTGACTAGACAGTGGTGGATCGAGTCAATATAGGAGAGGTCGGACAAAATTTGGAAACTTCAAACGCCTATCACTCCGTTTATACAAAACTTTGAAGCTCTAAAAGTGATCCCATTGGTTTTCTCGTGAAATTTTCTTCTATAAGCACCACTTGAAATATAAAATTTGACTAAATAAACATCAAAAGTCGCTGTTCTAGTCAAAAATTTCAAGTCTGACCTCTCTGATTGACCCGATCCACTGTGTGGCGTGGCGTGCATTGCGGTATATCGATTGATCTGCCCGTTAAACCTATGGAAAAGGATCGATATACAGGGTGTTTGCAACGAACACCTTAATAATCGATTCTTTGCCACAGGCTCAGATGGGAAAATATCAATCTGTTCTCTGATTCGTCGGTCTCGTCAGTCGTCAAAATGTTCGTTCCTAAGTTGGGTGGAACTGCAAAGTCGGTCAATGAGGGAGAGACCAAGAATTGAAAGGCACCATGCCGTTTTCTCGATGCTGATTGGTAAAATAAAGTATGTCCCTCGGGCCGGATTTGAACCAGCGACCTATGGATTACCAGTATTATCATCTACAGTCCACCGCTCTGCCAACTGAGCTACCAAGGGCTACTGTGAAGGCAAAATACGCTTCTCATAGTTGTCGTGCTATTGTTGTTTGAATTAGCGTTGGACGCCATTGCTTACTGAAAATGAAAAAATCCACACTATTAAAAATTTGAGAGCGTTTTACAACAAAACTTGCCAAGTTCCTGAAAATTTCTAGGAAAAATATGCATAACTTTCATCCATAATGATTATATTCTGAAAGAAATTTGGCAACTCTCGAATGTTCATACGGCGTTTTTCCTTAGCACGGTAGCATAGGGCAGAATAGGGCTCACGTGGCTCGCGTCAAAAAACGAAAAAATCGTCTCGTTTTTTTTTCTCATTTAATTTTTATTTTATATTCTAATAATTTTTTCTTTTTCTTCTTTTTAAGGAAGAAAGGTGGGAGTCAATATTCAAATTTTCACCAGGTGGGTTTCGATTCCGTTTTAAAACAGCAGTTTTCCATCCTTTTTAAACGCATCAATTCTACTGCCTGATGACGGATATTCTTGACTTCTACAAAAAGTACGTCCCTCGGGCCGGATTTGAACCAGCGACCTATGGATCTCTGATCTAGCCAACTACAGTCCACCGCTCTGCCAACTGAGCTACCAAGGGCTCACGGGTGGAGCTGAAAAAATTCCTGATCATTACAGCGAGTGAGCGCAAAGCTTCAGAGCTTAGCGCGAGAAGAGAAAGTGGCGGCGCGGCCGGCCGGGGCGGTGGCACACAGCTGGCGTCGCGACGCCCGACGCGACGCGCGCCGAGTGTCGACGAGGCGCCACGTCGTCTGACCGCGCCGCGACGCACCGCACTAGCCATTAAAATTGCAGCGCCACGAGCCAGAGGTGCCACATTTAAGCCTGCTATAAGCTAAAGTTGGACTTATTTCGAGTTAATTAGAGTACCTTTTAGGGAGAGAATGTACTACTCGATTTAGGTAGCTCTTAGGGCCCAAAGGCGACAACGTGGGAAACGAAAATCAGTAAAAAAAAGTGCCACTGCCAGCTTATGCATTTAGGGCCGACAGCGTATTGTAAACAAGCGTTTTTAAGGATTAAGACTTTGAAACTGAGAAAATATATGCAAAATCATAGTTTAATAGGTGCTTTTATGATACCCTCGGAGTTTAAATTAATAGCATTGGATAAGTCGAGTTCATAGGTTGGCTACCTCTTTTGGCCCCAAGAGCTACATGACCTCATCAAGCAGCCTTCAAATTTTCAAGTTTTCCGTACTGTCCCTATAAAGCTACTCTAGAGTTAATATGATAAGGTAGAATTTTCAGATATATGAACTAAAACTGCATGAAATGAAACATTGCAAAATCTCCATTCATAATTTTTAGTATCGCCCCTAAATTCCAAGCTTCGGCCATGGGAAAATTTAAAAGTTAGTGAACGATTATGGATCTGTGGATTTCATTGTGGATTTCTACGAACTTGGATAACCTTGCCCCAGCACGGTTGCCAGATTAGAGGCCCGATTAATTTCAAACACTCATATCACAATTGTCCAACTAGTTCCGAATTCCTGAACTTGAGATTTTCCTGCATTTTTCCCGGATATTTAAAACCCCGAAATGTTCCGGATCTTTAGCATTAACTTTTGAAAAAATCTGCATGGGATCCCGAAACTTTTGACGGATAAAGAATGGAAGCACTGCTATATACCCGACGACAATTTCAGGGGTGCAATTTTCAAATTATTTTTCAGGAATAATTCGATGTATCTTGATCGCACCGTGCCGAAAGCACTCTCAAGAGAGGGAGAACAGCGCGAATAGCGCGAGCCGCCGGAAGGTGGACGCCCGAGCAAACTGAATTCCCCCCGCGAACTTTTACAAAGTAAACGACGCTACTAAATTACTAAGAGGTAAACCATCACTTACGAAAGTTCGAATCCGTGCACTCCTACTTACGAGCCTCAAATATTTACTCCCCCCACTCCGCGCCCCCTCCGATCCGCAAAAACCGCAGATCCTCTCATGGACTCGATTGGACTTGCGCGGTTTTCGATTGCGAGGGGGCAAAAATGCACGTCCCTTTGTTAACATCAAAGGTCGGCTGAACCCGAAACTCATACGCGGTAAATGGCATTCCTCGGATGGAATAAGTTCTCAAGACCTTGCTTTCAAAGCTCTCAAAGCTGCGATGAACAAAAGGAAACAGTGCTTGCGTCCCGGGCTTTCGTCCTCTTTTTCCGGCCCGCTCTCTCTGCCTATCGTCATTCAATTTCCCGGGCTTCGTTTCCGATTCGGGGAAACCTTGAGAAAAAAGTTTTATCTCCTCGTCCCGGTGGTGGATTCTCAATATGCTCCACGATATTTGGACGTGTTTCTATCAAACGGAACCATGTGTATTGAGACATGAGCCCTGCGACCCGAAAGAATGTATGCATAACACGGCTCACGTCATAATGCACATAGTTCCGTTTGGCAGTTTTACGTCCATCTCCCGGTGCGTCTCGAGACGCAAGGACGTTTCGTGCACTTGAATCGTCGTTTCTCGGTAGAAGGAACATAACTCCATTCCAAGGTTGCCAAATGGACCCAAACAATTTAATTCCTCGCAAAATTATATCCACGCAATTTTCGTTTAAATTGTTCGTAATTTTGGCATGGAATGAGAAGAAAAACCGGTGAAAATTTTAGGTAGAAATATCCAAGATTCTCCTCGTAAAAATGCGGGGGTGTCAAAAAAGGGTGTCACTACCACGGTGGATGACGTCAAAAACCCGACTTTTGAAAGGGCGATATCTCGGTTAATATTGAACATTGAAAGTTGCTGTTAAGGCGGATCTAATTATTTTTAACTAAGTGCAAAATTCGTGATATAACTCCGGAGCCGATCAAATTGCATTGAACAGAGTTGAAGGTTAACTTAATTTCTCGTTCCCGTTTTAAGTTATTCAAAGAGGAGCGCGAGGACAGGGACATATTCTAGCTTTTTCAACTTAAAACACTACAAATAACGTGAGCCTATATTTGTTTCATGCAAAATGCAAAAAATTTACATACCAAGAGGCCGCTAGCAGCACTGGTTCCTGAAAAAATAAAAATAAAATCGTAATTACAGTAAGTATGACAATTTGAATAATATAATAATGAATTATTTTGTATTATTTTGTCAAAAATACAAAAAAAAAAACATTTCTGGGCCCTTCTAGCTACACCTTTTTGCCAAATATAGTTAAGATTTCAATCATTTTTTTCCTTATGAATCATTCTAATTCAGTCAGACGGCAGAGATGCAAGTAATAATTCAATTCAAATACATTTTATAAGATTAAAGAAGAAAAATCCCAAAAAATCAATACATCAATGGGTAAGGTCGGTGTACGCGTATTTTTCCTTTGCAGCGTTGCAAATCGCCAGTAGTTTCCAAAAGGAAGGTCACATAAGGTTATTCTTATTTTCTGTGAATTTTGCCAGTAATTCAAATGAATTTCACAAAACGTGTCAAAGAAATACTTTACTTAGCTCCCTGTCAACACAAGGCACAATTAAATCGAAGATTTTGAAACATCGCAGTGGAGGTAAACGCAATTCCGAGCTCAGCCATCGATATACTTAATTTTTAAATTTTCAGTTAATGGACTACATTTTGCAATAAGGAACATTCTATTCCTTGCTCATTATAGAAACGACAAATAAACACGATTAGTTCCCCTATGCAAATATATCTCCTTGTGTGCGGATGAACAATAAATAGTAGTTCTTTATTGTATAATATTTGGTGTATAAATTTCCACTTCGAGACAGGCAGTAATATTTGGACTGAATATTGCAATTTGGAACTCTAAATTCTGGCTCTTCTGGAAAAACACTTAAGTGCATAGGGAAACTAATGGCAAAAACGTTGTTTTTAGGCCGGGCTAGAATTTATAGTTCCGAATTGCAAAGTGTAGTCCATTTATACAATGTTTATCGCATTCTGTTCCATGTATGTGTAATAGGAGCTTTAACCTATGGGAGCTTTTCTAGCTCCATTTGTAAATCTGCAAATTACTAATCAGCCTGTTTTAATTTTTTTTTTTTTTTTTTTTTTTTTTTTTTTTTTTTTTTTTTTTAAATTGAGATACATGGACAATATTTCAGTTTTTTCAATTCGTGTACGGTTTCAAGAATCCGAGTAATGAGACTCAGCCTACTCTGCCGTACTAAGGAAAAACGCCGTATGAAACTTCGTCAGTTGCCAAATTTACTTCGATTAAATACGAATTTTCAGGAAAACTTGTGAACATTTTTCATTCAATTTTCCAGAGAATTTTCTTCGTAATTAGATCTGAATTATCCGAAAATTTCAGGAGGAGATTACTCTCCTAAAAAATAATGTTTTATTCACGGAAATTTGGCAACTCTCGAATGTTCATGCTGCGTTTTTCCTTAGTACAACAGTCCTGCGATCCTCAACTGGACTGTATTTTGCAATTTGGACCTATAAATTCCGGCCCGGTTTTAAAACAATGTATGTGCCATTAGTTCCCCTATGCACATAAGTGTTTTTTCAGATGAGCGAGAATTTATAGGTCCAAATTGCAAAATGCGGTCCAACTGTGGCTCTGTTTCATGCGAGTAAGAACAAAAGTTCTCTACCCGAGGCTCAGGCTGGAAACTTATGTGAATCTCAAGACAGAACTGAATCCGGCGACTAGCGCAAGTTCACCGTTCGAAGTATGAACAACGCCCCGCGATTTCGCTAGAACTGGTGTGATCCACCTGAGCGCTCCGCACCGAAAGCTCAATTTATCACGGGTATCGAAGCTTGAACTTATTCCCACCGATAGCTTTGCAATGCCGCATGCCGGCCTGCCAGACTCGCAACTTTCAAGTGTTCCATTTCTCGATTAAACGAGGAAAACAGACTTGCGCCTCTCAGAAACCGCCGACCGAATAGAAAGCAGACAGGATGCTTTCCGAAGCGCTGTAATCCCTCTAATCGGTCTAAGACAGGTGTCAATGCACCAAGAAAGGACCCATTGAGTGGTCGTCTCGGCAAAGCTCACATGAATAAATGATAAAGTTCTTCGAATTTAAAATTATGGGAAAAACGGAACTTGGCACACTTTTTTTTGGAAAAGTATATAACGGAACGAAGCGACTCGTCACATGCCAAAGCTGGTTTCCTCTCGACGGTGTCTGCACTCCCAGGTAAGTGAAATAAAACCGCTTCTACGTTACGAAAAGATCGTCACCGGCTCATGAAATTGCGTAAACATTAATGAGTAGAATTTGAACGCATTTATTTCAGATGGGCTGAGGGTGTGTTTTGGTCAATTATTTCAAAAAAATATATAAATACTCAAAAAGTTGTGATAACTTATCTACAGTCATTAAATATTTTAATTATGCCAATAAGGAAACGACTCTTAGGAAGTATTTAAAGTAAAAGTAGGCCAACTAATTTCAAAGTACCAAAAGGCAGGGTAATAATTAATTAAACCTCAGAGAAAATACTTGTTTTCTTAGTAAAATTAATCAAGTGATACGTTCAGCATACCAATAACTTCCGAAAGCGGCTCATAAATGGACTAATTTTGCGAGTTGGAATTATTGAAATATCTAGCTCGGTTTAGAAACAACGTGTACATACTATTTTATTCCTTATGCACTTCAGTGTTTCTTCAGATGAGCCAGAAATTGTAGTTCCTAATTGCAAAATTTTGTCCAATAAAGGAATTACAGTTTGATAGTTTATACAATAACTGGCAAATTTAACTTTAAGGAGAAAAAACTCAAGAACAGATACTGAACTTTCGAACATATTGAACACTACGAGCCGACCACAGACTTCTCACCTCTACAGACCCTAATAAAGTGGAGCTCTGGTCTATATGGGAAGGTCTTGTTAGACTGACCGAATCCCGCTGTCATAAATCTGTATGATTGGACAGCTGAACTTGCCGGTTGACCATACTTGTCGATGTAAGGGGCAGAAGTTCGGTTTTTTTGCCCGAAAACTTCGGTTACCCAAACCGAAAAAGTTCAAATTCAAAATGTGCAGAAGTTCAGTATCTGTTACCTAACTTCTTTCTCTGATGTACCTTGTCCAATGCTACCGTGCTACGGAAGAACGCCGTATAGCCCTTCGAATGTTGTAAAATTTCTCGCGATTAAACATTATTTTAGAAAAAATGTATGAATTTCCTTGACATTTTTACATACTGCAGATCAAATTACGAGTGAAATTCTCAGAAAATTGGGAGAAAAGTGGTCACAATTTCTCGGGCAAAGGAACGTAACTCCATTCCAAGGTTGTATAATTGACAAAAAAGTTGTTCGCAAGAATTTATTCGTAAAATTTTTGTCTGAAATTTTCCTGATACTTCATGAAATCAGAACGAAAATCCGTCAAATTTTTCGTGAGGAACGACAGAGACTCTCCTAGTGACAATGCAATTTGTGAGAGGCAACATTGTGTAGTTACGTTCTTACTGACACGTGCTTCTTCTTTCGTACACTGGAAAAAAAGTCGCTTGGATCTAGAGTCCAGACTCTTACAAACATTGACAAGAAAAAATTCTCTTGATTCAATCGGACTTTTTGCTTGAACCAAAAGGAAATCCGCCTAAATCAAGAGGCTCGGCTCTTCAAAGCAAGGAAAAATCGTATTGAATCAAGGGTGTTGTTTCTTGTCAATGTAATTAACAGATCCCAGCTACTTTTTTTTTTTACCAATGTACGGGAAACGACGAACTGTTTCTGAATGTTTGCTTTTTATTCAAGATGATTTGGTGAGGTAGGAAGGTTCAAACGTTGTTTTTCTTCAGCACGGCAGAGTGTTCCATCAGCACCCTTTGAAATTTGCGCTTTTCTTTAGGTTATCGAAAAAATGGCGCGATGGATATTGCTGCTTGCCGTGAGTTTGTTGTTGGCGATTTCCGTGCGCGGTACCTGCGACTGCCCCGCCGGCGATTGCACATGCATCGCGGAGGACCCCCTCGGCTATGACGCCAGGTTCGAGATCTGTCACCTCTTCACCCGTCAGGCCCCGCACAGGGTCGCTATAAGCAGCACCGGAAGAAAGTTCGTGTGCTTCCCGTGTTCGTTCGACGCTCAGAACACCAACGACGGATGCAACGGAAAAATCCAAGTCGCTGAGGTAACCCCTACCGGAGAACTGCCCTACCCCAACTACTGCATCAACAACCCTCCGAGCGGCGTCATCAATCGCGCCTGTTGTCCGGCGGCGGCCTTCCCTTACGCGGATTTCTTTATCAGTGTCGAATCGGTAAGGTCAAGAACTCAAGAGAACATAAGATTTCCTAAAAACTGAGCAGCGGGCCGATTATTGAAATTTATAGACAAAGCTATGGACACAGAAGACAAAAAGTTATGGAGGAATTCTACTGGTGGAAGCGGGTGGTTGCGATGGACAAAGGAGGTGGGTAATATACGAACTAACGGCAACCCACGAGAGACCCTACACGAGTCCATCATTTTCCCCCTTAAGTCTATAGGAACTACCTACGTTAACCAATAGGATCGCTGCAAACTCCCTCAGACTTCTTCGTCGATCGCTTTGTCTATAAAATTCGATTATCAGCCAGCCCACTGGAAGCTGATTGTTGAAATTGATAGACAAAGCTATGGACGAAGAAGACATAGGGAGTATGGAGTGATCCTGTTGGTTGAAAAGGTTGGTTCCCATGGACTAAGAGATAAAATGAGGGACTAACTGTAGGGTCTCTCGTGAGTTGCCGTTGGTTGGTCTATTACCTACCTTCTTTGTCTATTGCAACCACCCACCTCTACGCCTTGTCTTCTTTGTGTATTGCTATGTCTATAAATTTCAACAACCAGCCCGCTCTGTGACGAGACATAAATGTTTAAAAAATAAAACTGCGTGTAACAGGCCAAAAAAGAATACATTTACCAAGAGGTTTCGACTGAAAACACCATAGCCTTCTTCAGTTGGATAAAAATATATATGAAAACTTAAAATTTAAAAAAAATAGTACCGGATTGTAATATATCTTTCCAAACGAGACGATGTTATGAACATATTTTGATAACAAGGTCAACACACATAGGTATTATTCTATGCACGAATAATATTATTATATGTGTCGCATTTGGCAAAAAGAAACCAGCGTGATTAGTGTTTTCAAAATAGTGGAATTCCTTATTTTCTTCAAAAATACTTGATATATGTCCAGCAATCAAATTCACGCAATCATTTTTCTTCAAAATTAACAATTTTNGGAAAGGTTCAGGCTGAACCGTTCAGCACAGCGCAGCGTCAGTCACCGGGTGGGGAAGAGAGTCCGGGAGGGGACACTTCCCCTCGAGTGAAATAGAAAAAGGCAGAATCCTTCGAAGTTTTATATTTGATATATGTCCAGCAATCAAATTCACGCAATCATTTTTCTTCAAAATTAACAATTTTTGGGGGGGAAAAGAAACTATTTTCTACCCAGGGAAATTATTAAGATAATTATGGAGAGGCAACATTTTTACAACATTGTAATTACGCTGGTTCTTTTTTTGCTAAATAAATGATCCATTTTTAAGTCACGTTCTTTCGCGAGGGAAACAAGGCATTTTCCAACTTTGAAATGTATCTACGTTCTTTCATTTGGGGAAAACCGAGATGAATAACGATAGTAACCCGTTTCTCGTTCTCTAGCTGAAGATTCTCAACGATTACTTATGGTGCATGGACTCCGGGCGCCCCCTGGATTGCACGAAGCAGGTCCTCCTCGAAGCCACCGGCGGGACCAAAGTCGTCGTCATCAACACCTGCAGCAACAGCGTCGTCCGGATCTACGAGCTCCCGCTGACGGTGGCCCTGCCCACTTCGCTCTGCAAGGACATCGCCATCGACACCTGCAACAAGAAAGCCTACATCGCCGACGCGGGTTGCCCGGCGCTCATCGTCTTGGACATCGTCGACGGCACCTCTTATCGGCTCCTCGCCGGCGACCCGTCGGTCTCACCCGTGTGCGGAAACATAGCCTACGTCTGGGGTCAAGCCCAGTACTGGCTGACCAAGTGTGGGGATTGCACCACCGTGGGCTTCATCCCTTACGGGGTCTACGCCCTCGCCCTGTCGCCCGACTGCGGGCGACTGTACTTCATCGACATGGGCGACCGGAAACTCTATTCCGTGTGCACGTCTTCTCTTCAGACTCCGGGAGCGGCCAACTCGGACATCTTGACGTCGCTGATCAACCACGGTGAGATCGGGAAGACCCTCGGTCTGGCGGCCGACTGTCAGACAGGGGTCGTTTGGTTCGGTAACGCGGAGGCGAACGCCGTCGGGTACTTCAACCCCTGCTGCCCGTTCTCCAAGACGAATATCCTCATCCGCGACAAGAGGGTCGCGTGGTCGGAGGGTGTGTGCATCCCGGGTGACGGGTATTGTTACATCATTGACTCCCATTTCAACGGGATCCCTTCAATCTACCCGGGGACAGGTCCGCTCTTCTCCGAGAGGAGGAAGTGCCCCTTCGTGCTCTGGAGGTTCAAGTTGCCCTGCTCCGCGGACCTCTGCCCGAACCCTTGCGCCCCTGCGACCTTGGGATACTACCCTCCTGGTGGCTGTACTGCTTGCAGTGTTTGCTCCTAATAAGCATCGCGGAAATTTTCGGAAGTTTCTAGTCATCGTATAAATGAACACGTGGGATTAAAATTGCACAAAACAATACTTTTAGACAATATTTATGTACGGAGAATTTGCAGGGGTCAGACATATGCTGAATTTCATATTTAATGGGAACTAATAAGTGGGCTGACTACAAGAATACTATCAATCTCTAAATTGATGAACTATAGAAGAATGTTTGTGGCAAAATATCTAATACGTTCGTTGAAATCGGAAATACCGCTTATTACGTCAAAAGAGGTACATTTCCTCATTTTTAAATATGTTGGTTAACTTTTTACATCTGAAAAGTTCGCACTACAAAATACTGTGAACTTAATTCAAAAATCAATGACAATTTCTCTTGCAAATGCTCTATTACATTGTTGAAAGAAAAATTATCGAGCCGTATCTTGCTGAAGAAAGTAATTGACATAAACTGACTCTAGCAGGTTCAGGAGGGGTCCTCAGAACTATTACAAATTTGAAAGTACGAGTTATAACTGAATTATATGGATTCGTGTACTGTTTTTTTTTTCTTTTTTTTTTCTTTTTTTTTCTTTAAAATCTTTCAATTTGCTTTCTATATTAATACACCATCAATGCCACCAAAAATGTGTCTCAAATTGCAACAGAGTAAATTGTTCGAATCAGAAAAACCGATAAATTCAGTGAAAAGCGTTAAAATTAAATGTCCTTGGATCATCTTTCAGTTTTAAGAAATTGAAATTCTGCCTGCAGACCTCAAATCAAGTTAAATTACAGCCAACTAAAGTTTCTTCTTAAAATGACAGTCGTTTGGGTTTTACCAAAGTTAAAAAAAATGTTTTAAAAACAGTTTAGATCTCGCATGCTTCAGATGTTCGTTACTAATTGTTCACCCTACCAGACATGATACCGCAGTGAAGATGAAATGATAAATTAATAAATAAATGAAGATTACCATGACAGTTATTGAAAGTGTCAAAATTATTTCTGTTCCGTACCCATTTAGAGTTATTCGTCCTGGAGTTCTGTTTTGATCTGTCATCACGGTGGTCATCACATAGCGTAGATGAGGTAGAATTTCGAAGTATACTTTAAGTTCTATAAAAAGCAAGCAAATTATTCGTAAAGTAGGGGTTGTAACGAAATTCAAAGAATTACTCGTCATCAACAACAATATTCCACGAAAATAGTCAAGGTATCGCTTTCTATATGGAAAATCTATCATTACCACGTAATGTGTCATTATCACTATTAAGTGTTGAGTACATGTATATCTTCTGTTTGTTAATTGCTCTGATGATGGGAGAACTCCCGAAACGCGTTAGCATGTGTGAATAAATTGTTCATTGTCAATAAGAATACGCAGTGTTTTGGCTAAATAACTTTGAAATTGTTCCCTAAATTTCTATATTTCAAATACGTTTGGGTCAAAAAAGCTCCCTATACTTTTTTTTACTCGAACCAACATTAGCACGCCACTAATATACTTTCTCTTTAAATCGCAATCTTTCTTCCTTCTCTCCCATCCTTTTATTCAGTGTAATACTTGAATCTGAGCATTACAAAGAGTGTCCGCGCATTCAACCGTACTTTGAAGATTGAGAAATAGAGGGATCGAGGGGGGGGGGAGGGGGAGTCGCGCTAAGGCCGCAATAGAATCCGCGCTCGTTTCCGGTTGTACCCGATTCTATTTCCTGTCTTGGGCTTCATGAGCCGGACCCTTAACGCCACTCGTTGTGATTTGTTCGGACTGTCCGCATATCCGCTCCAATATCGAATATCCGCTCCCGAGAAGGACACTTCCGCGCCTTCCTTTCGTCCAATTAGCGGCCGCCTTGCCCTCGAGTGCCCCCCAAATAAATGCAGAGTTGCCGCATCGTCTCAATGCGATTAAATGCAAATAGCTGTGGACGTACCTCCCGGAACTCCGGACAAATCGTAATATTTTTCCCAGGATTAAATGGACCGAGTTCATCATGAAAACTTTATAGGGTCTTTTTTTTATTTAACAAGCTACTTATTTCTTGTGTACAATTATGCAAAAATAAACTGTGCGACACAGTAACAATTACATAGTAATACAGTCAAATATAAATATAAATTAACGTAGGGGTCTTATCTATTATTAAGTGACACTAAATGACATGTTCTGAGCTTGCTGTCAGCCTATACTGCTGACACATTTGAACCGCCCTCTGGCATTACATCGGCGTATAGTGTCTTATTGGAATAGTGTTAATTTTGGCATTTGTGATTTTTTTGTCAATTTCGGCTAGTATTTCGTTTAGTCTGCTCCTCTTTCAGAAAGGACTCAAACCACATTTTCGAAAAAATTGAGTTAAGAATATTTCTGAGTTCCACAAGTCGTATCTTTTCTCCTGCCAAAAACTCAAAGTTGAAAAAAAAAAATATTGTCTGTGAAAAGAGGGGCTAAAGTTTATTTTCTACGTTGAATCTTATGGAGAATTTACGACTTCAAACCTTTTTTTCTGAGATTCAGGTTTATGTGGGTTGGTTCCTCTCTGATAAACTCGGACCAAATGGACGAATTTATGCTGACAGGAACTAGAGACGGGCGGGAAAGATTAAGTGTAGAAAGATTTCTAGTAGCAGAGTACGCTGCATGAATTTCAAGCTATTAAGTTGACTTGCTTCTCCTCAAAAGAATAAGAAAGAAACAAAAATTTGAGACACTACGGCAGAGATGCGTCCTCGGCCACTTAGGCCTCCGTAGACCATCGATATCACGGAAAGAGGCGACTCCTAAACAGTCTTTACCGACATTCAGAAACGATCCCCAGTTCTCAACAACACACTTAGTGTAATTAATAGATGATCCCAGCCCTTTTCCACCCCCTGGTCAAACATCCAAACTAGTGCTGGGATGCTCGAGTAGTTCACTCGGCGCTAACGAGAGTTTAAATTAATTACTTGAACTGCGGCAAAAACCAGGTGAGTGACAGCCGGAGAAAAATGAATCACGTTGGAAACTGCTGGCGTCGAAGGTGAGGCAACGTGATGGATAGTTGGACGTATTTCTGTCAAACGGCACTGTGTGCACTTAGACATGAGCCCTGAGACACATAAGAGTATAGGCATAACAGGGCTCACGTCATACTACCCACATTCCCGTTTGGTGGAAATATGTGCAATTGGCTGTGACGAGGCTCTGTTGTCGGTATGACCGAGCACGAGTAAACAATGAGCAATTTGAGCAATTACTGGGTCATGATTTCCGAAAGAGCGACGCCAAGAATGGCACAATTTGGGCCAGAAGGGATTTTTCTGAAACCGGGCCCAAACGATACCTTATGATACCCTAAAACTCTGGTAAAAATTTTAGCTTGAGTATACGCAC